GATTAATTAATTACTATCATATTAATAGAATATTATTAATAATAAAATAATTAATATATACAATATATTATAATATAGTCTCATAATATTATTGTTATTATTATATTATATAATATTATAATAGTATATATTATTATTAATAAAATAATAATTAATTAATTTTATTATTACTTAATAATATTAATCACTTTACAATAAGAAAATATTTAGCTAAGTAAAGATAATAGGAGGGTCTTTTATGTCTTTTGACCAAAATAAGGAAAGTTCCTTACAAGTAATCAAAAAATAAGTTAGGATTTCCCAGCTTATTTTTTGGCTACTTATAAGTGACAAATAAATAACATATGTAACTCCTATCAAACACAATATTACCAACTTATAAGTAAATTGTTACTTACAAGTAGAAGTAAATTAGTTGCCAAACATGCACTTACATAGCAGGTTTTGGGATTCAAGTGCAATAATGATTAATCATTCTTAGCACTGGATTAGCTAAAAAACCTTATAGTTAAGCATTTTGGACGATCACAAAAATATTGTGAGTGATATTTATTTTTAAGGTTAGTTCTTTCCACATTCAATGGAGTAAATCAGATAACTACTCCATGATTATTTTCGTTGTGATTATTAATTGTTATTTGATTTTAGTAGAGTTTAATGGAAAGTTTGACCTCGTATGTGTTTCGAAAAGTGAAGAATTTGTTTACTATTTTTTATCAGGTTGCATTTTTCTGGATTAGTTCAATGGGTTTAGTATTAAAGACTCTAGAGTAACAAGAAACGAATTGGGCTTAATTCAGGGACAAACCGTCTAAATTTATTGTATGTTGTATCATACTCACTTTAAAAATACGAGTTCGGGAAAATTCTTCTATGGTCAATATTACCCTTAACTTTTTTTTAATATTACATTGTTATCCTAATCTATTTTAACTATCATATCTTCTTTTAGTTGGTAACTAAATGATTTATCCTATTCATAATGAGACTTAACTCGTTCTTGGATGAATAAGATACATTTGATATAATTCAAATCATTTACTTATTATAGTTCATAGAGAAAACTTAAAATAATATGCTAGCCAGCACCTAAATTTTTTTAGACTTTGTAAAATATCCTCCAAGTTTTTTAAATTACAAAAACACCCCTACAAATTTAAAATTTTATTAAAACATCTTAAAAATTATAAATGTTGCTTATTTCAATTTAGTGAGAAATCTGAAAAATATATGCTAGTTAGAAACTGAAAGTTTTTTACTTTGAAGAAAATATATTATAAGTTTTGAAAATTATAAAAACACCCCTAAAAATTCAAAATTTATAAAAAACACCTTAAAATTTCAAACCTATAAACACACTACAAACCGACAAATAACACACAAAAACCCCTAAAATTTTATGAAATTTGCAATAAACACTCTGAACTTTGTAGGCATCAAAATTTGCCTACGGGCTCTCGCACGCAGCTCGAAGCAGAGAGAAGAAGATGAACGTTACTATCCGAGTCACAGAAGCTTAATTGATATCGATGAGCGCATGAAGTAAGTTAACAAACCGTATCAAACAACGGAACTACAGAATAACGAAGACACGAACTGATCGGGAGCAACGCTTTACTTACGGAAGACGAAGTGCCCCTCGTGTCCCATCTACTCCACATGTGATTCAACCATGGGAGCTTGTAGATCTCCTAGTCGACTTTCCTACGCACTTTGAATCGCACGATTCCGAGTTCGAACGACGAAGATAGGGTGAAAACAGACGGGACGCACGAAATAATGCCTCGAGCCTTAGCTGAGACACCGCGAGTGTCTCAGCGAAGGCCGAGACACCCACGGTGTCTCCGCCTTGGTCGAGACACCCAAAGTGTCTCGGCCACGGCCGAGACACTGAGGATGTCTACAGCCCAGAAAAGTTGTTTTTTGCTGTTTTTGAGCGGTTTTCGCCCGTTAACCACCTGGATTTGTTTCAACTGATCTAATATTATCCAAGAATATGATAAAGTGGTTATAACTAAGGATAAGACCAAATCAGTCATTCTTATCCAAAAACAGAGGTAATACAGCCCTAGGGCCTTCATTTGCACAGATCTGGAATTCTCGAGCGTCGGCGAAACCTTGCTGAATTGGAGACTGAAGACCCACGAATTTTAGAGAGGAGGAGATCGGATCGAGTTCTTTGGCATAAATAATGAGAGTTCGTTAGATCCATAGCCTGGTTCCTTCCCTTGAGATTGTACCTAGCTGCAATCTCGAGAAGAGTAGTTATCTCACTATTGCCGAGATAATTGCTTCGGTTTCTTGATTCCTTCATGAATCAACGAAACTCCGGATTGATCTGAACGCTTGGTAGTCCATGGATATTAACGTCCCCGGCACAAGCAAAGATCTCACACAAGCAGCGGAAGATAAACGTCTGTTGCGTTTGTTTAAGAAGAGTTGTAATTTTTCTTATTTTATTGTGTAGAAAGATCTTATTAAAAGATCAACTTTTAAACTCTTTGTAACGCTTGAAGTTGTAATGAGTTTCACAATTAAGAAGTCAATTTTCACACCAAATAAACTTTTTACAAATTATAAAATAAAACCCTCAAAATTGTAAAATTTATAAAAATCCTGATAATTTTTAACCTAACAATACATTGAAAAATATAGGAATTACAAATATCTCTTACATAATTTATAATTTATACAAGACACCCTTAAAGTTTTAAAAATTACAAAAAAATATTCAAAATTCAAATTTTATAAAAAGCACCCTAAGAATTTCAAACTCATTAGTAAATTGAAACATATGAATCATAAATAGTCTATTAACAATTTACAATCTATAGAAAATACTAATAAGTTTAAAAAATTACAAAAACTCCTAAATTTTATAATTTACAAAAAAACACCACAAGAATTTCTAACCTATATACACTAAAATAAATATACAAAATTACTAACAACCCCTAGAAAATTAAAAATTTACAAAAAAACATATCCCTTTAAAATTCTAGGTTTAGGAAAAACTTTTCTCGAAAAACTTTTCATGGAAAATATTACCTATAACTTTTTTGAAAGGAACATAACTAATTGAAAATCGCTTAAATTCAAATTTTATAAAAAAATTCTCTTAAATTTTAGTACACTGTAAATTACCCCTCCAAAGTTTAAAAATTTAATGATTTTTTATAATTCCTTGATTTCAATGTAATGTTTATTGGTTTTGTGTATTTATAAATTACAAAATTTTAAGGTTTTTTATAATTTTTAAAACTTTTGAGGGTGTTTAGTTTGTAGTTTTCTAAATTTTTATCGTGTTTTCAGTGTGATGCATAGATAGATCAATTAATGATGATATTAAAGAGTAAGTCGTTTTTAAGATTATTAGGCCATAGTTGAGTGTACATATCACCATTCCTAGGCAATATAGTTTATATATTTAAAAAAATTCAGACAATCTATATAGTGGTTAAAAGGATTTTAACTTTAATGTATTATATTTTATAAATTATATTTAATATGAAACTATCATATAATTTTGACTATGGTCATCATAATTTTAATACGTTTGTTTGATTGACTATATATATATATAGACCATAGATTACTTTACTTTCTCACATGAACTAATATTTGACGCTTAATAATTAAAGTTATTACTTTTAAATTTAATATAAAGATGAGCTCTAATAATATTTATTTATTTACCTACTGGGTAATACAATCTCAATGCCTATTTTTTACTTGATATTTATTCCATAGTTACTCGTACCAAATTAGTAACTAAAATAATAATTATTTATGCTTAAATTAGGATGATTCTGGTTGATCGCTCACTATAAAAATTTTATAAAGATATATATCTTATTTTCTATAGCTATCTGCACTGCCCGTATATATTTTATAAATTAGTTGTTAATTTAACATATTAAATTACTTTTCATTTGTAGAAATTTCTTCTTTGACTTTTGGATTGTGTAATCACTATATCACCATTATAGCATGGAAAGAACCTCATTCTAAATGGCTTCAAGCTAATTTTTAAGTTGAACTGAGGTATATACTATTGCTACTATACGTATATATTTTTTTTAAAAATCATGTCAATACTTTTTAAACAGAAGAGAATATTCTAACCTCTAATATTATAAAAACTGAATATAGCAAATTGAGTAATTAGCAAAAGAGAACTTACATCTGAAAAGCTGAATAATAAGATAAAAGAGGAAAGATAATAGCATTGCCAATAGTACTACCAATAGCAAACTACAATATAAAGTCAACCTATTTTGTGGAGCCAACTACTAGCTATAAGCATCGAGACTTCCACATATATACTTTATAATTTATTTAAAAGGGTCATGTAATTTTATATAATTTATTAAAAATGAATAGTAATATCGTTGTAATAATATCGTTATTAAGAAAAACTCTTCGTGAACTAGTATGTTCTTTACGATATATAAGTTATGCGCTCCAAATTATTGTGTCTTTTATAGAGCCAAAAAGTTTGAATACGAGCCTCTAACATTTTGCTCTCACAATAACAAAATCCACTTAGCAGATGTGGATATTCTAGATGAGTTATAATTGACTTAAGCAAGTGAGTTATATTGTGTCTTTCTTTTTTCCAAAATCCTAGCAAATAGAATTAAATCAATCATGGGGAGCATTGTGAATGAAGTACAAAGTGCTTTTGTCAAAGGTAGACAAATTACAAGTAATATCTCCTTGGCTCATGAGCTTGCTAAAAGCTACAGTAGGAAGTGCATTTCTCCAAGTGTCATAATGAGTATTGATATTACAAAAGCTTTTGACACAATAAGCTGGGATTTTATGAGAAAAATGTTTGAAGGGCTGAGGTTTCCTAGAGAGATGATTAACTGGATCATGGTTTGTACCTCTTCTCCTAAATTCTCTATTTCTCTCAATGGACTCTTCATGGATATTTTGAAGGAAAGAGGGGCTTAGGGCAGGGTGATCCTCTTTCATCATACCTTTTCATTCTAGGAATGGAATACTTATCCAGAAGATTAGAGCTCTTAAAGAAGGATAGGTTGTTCAGATATCATCCAAGGTGTGGCAAACTCAAAATATCCCACCTCATCTTTACGGATGACCTGCTACTCTTTGCCAAAGATGATTTATATTCTATCCAAAAGCTATATCAATGTGTGAAAGATTTTAGTGATACTACTGGTCTGGAATCTAATATGGACAAATGCCCTATATACTTTGGAGGAGTTGATGCTTCTGTCAAATCAGAGATAAAAAACTTCCTGGGTTTTTCAGAAGGTGTCCTTCCCTTCAAATATCTGGGTGTACCTCTCATCTGTAAGAGGCTAACATATGTGGATTGCAATCCATTGTTGGATAAAATCTCAAACCAGTTTTAGAAGTGGGCTAGACATAGCAACCTATCGTATGCAGGGAGGCTTCAGGTAATCAAAAGTGTTATATTAGGTGTTCAAAATTACTGGACATCTAATTTTATACTTCCAATTAAGGTTGCGAAGATGATTGATGAGTTATGCAGGAAATTCTTGTGGGGAAAGTCTGAAAACTCATTTAAAACTCCATTGGTTTCATGGGATAAGGTATGTTGTGGGAAAAAACAAGGTGGATTGGGAGTTTTTTCTGCATCTAATTGGAATCTGGCTTCAGCTATGAGGAGCATATGGTATATTCATGTTAACAAGGAAATATTATGGGTGAAATGGATTCATGGGAACTACTTAAAGCATTGGGATGTATGGCATGTCAAAGCCAAAAAAGGGGACTCTTGGATGTGGAAGCAGCTACTTAAGTGTAGGGATAAAGCTTTGAATAAAGTTGGAGGGATTGACAACCTGAAACAATTTCTTAGTGCTTGTTATAAAAACTCTAAAATCCAGTTATCAGCAGTTTACACTACATTCTCTCCTTTTTCACAAAATGTTCCATGGATTAACACAGTGTGGGGGAAGTTGAATTATCCTAGGCACTCGTTTGTGATGTGGCTTGCGATGCTGAACAGGTTACGAACACAAGATAGATTGTTGAGGAGAGGAATCATCAATGCAAATATATGCCTCTTGTGTGCAGGTGCAGAACCTAAGAGCATAAATCATATATTTTTTTATTGCACTTTTTTCCAGGGATGTGTGGTTAGCCATCATGAACTAGATTAAAATGGATTGGAAAACTTTTGATTGGACATTACTTATGGATTGGTATAACACCAGACAGAGAGGGAAGGGATTCAAAAAAAATGTGAGGAGAATGGATCTTTGCGGCTGCTGTGTACATGTTATAGGAAGAAAGAAATGGCATGTGTTTTTAGCAGCGATTTAAGAGTATTGTTCAATTGGTGAAGGTTATCAAAATGGACATTTTCACTATATGTTTGAATATTCCCATCTCTGATGAACATAGAGATTGGTTGATATCTTTGTAATTTTGTTAGTTTTTTTTAGAAGATTGGTTTTCTCAATGCTGAGATAGTGATGTACGTAATTTCCATATTTTGATAAATGAATAAAAAGCTTTTTCATTGATCAAAAAAATATAATAGTATTTTTCATTGACGTCGATTGGGGCAAGATTTGATAGGGCCTTGTATCAAAGAAAAAGAATTTTTTATATTTAGAACATATGATGAAATATATCATATTCTCCCTACTCTAATTTCGCAAGAAAATAATTCTTCATACTTTCAATTTTACTTCTATGATACGATAAGTGAGCTATAAAATTGAATGAGAATATTAGATTATGTAAATATGAGTGAAACCATAACTAAAAGTTAATGTGAATATGTATCAAACCACAACTAAAAGTTTAATGGACATATTACAAGTAAATTCATATGCAAAATTCCTTTACGAATTGAATGATCACCCATCTTTTGAAGACTTTAAGATACTAATAAACAAAGATGCTATACTAGATTAATATGTTTATAACTCACAAATAGTATATCAAGTGGTAACAGTCTAGGTTAAAGAAAACAATGACAATATTTCATTTGAGAAAGCGATTATTAAGTTGATAATTTAAATATTCATGATATTCAACCACGTGCATTGCACATGCATCTCAACTAGTTTAGACAAAATTCTTATCTTTGGACTTTTGGGTTTACAAAAATACCTTGCGATCTCAAAGTTAAAAATAGTATAAAACATTAGGTTAGTTAAGTGTAAACAACCCAAAAGAAAAAGAAATTCAAAGGGCAATTCTGTCATTACGTAATTTCATGCCACGGTCTCAATCCTCTAACTAGAATCGTCTGCGGACTCACCATTCAAAGATCAAAGGGGTCAAATCAAGATTCAACCCTATAACTCAAACATATTACATCACCGCCATCGCCACCAACTTGAATGCCTCAACGACTTTGAAAAGACCACAAAAAATTAGTGAGACCAACAACAAACCCTAGCTTCTCGCCTCTTTCATTTTCCACTTCAAAGACCGCTTCCTTCCTTAATTTATTAATTAATAATAATAATTAAGACCACTTCCGCTTTCCAAAGCCTAGAGTCAACCAAAAGCATAAACAAGACTTTGAAAAACCTTACACCCATCAACAGTACACGTCCATGACTATAGTCAACCAAGCCTATATAGCTAGCTCCTTATAAATAGACTCGCACACCCTTCACCAAAACATAACTCAACCAACTTTATAATCAACAAAAACCAGAGTTCTATAGTATATCATAGATCTCTCAACAAGCCTTCAACTATGAGCTCACAAAGGAAACATGCAGATCTTCTGTTCACCGTCATCATTGTGTTCTTCTTGATTTTCGCTGTGAGCATGCAGACCTCGGCGGCGATAAGGCAGACGCCGGAGGGATTTGATGGGGAGAGATATCTGCCGTTGACGACGAAAAGTGCATTCGAGAAGACGAGGGAGTTCATGGCTTCTTGGATGGTGAGGTTGCCGGCAGGGCCAAGTCCTGGAGGGGCTGGACATTGATATCTATCGATGCATGTGGTGTTTGAGCTCGGAGTACTATATATACAATTTATTATTTCTTACATTTTTTTCGGTGAAAAACATGTATATATATATATATAGACACTATCCTAAGGATAGGGAGCTAGTATTTATTGATTTTGGAATAAAGATATCGAACTTGTTTGCTTAATTCTATTTTTTTATAGATGGAAAAATTTTCAGGGTACAATAGTTGTTGGAGGTTTTGGAATATTTTTTTTTGGACCCTTCTTTTATCTGCAGTAGCTTTCAAACTATAAATATTAAAGTAGTATAGAATAAAATATCTCTTGAAGATGATGTACCTGTTCATATGAAAGATAGAATTGAGAAAATGTAAATTTTCGTTTCTGTTTTGATTACCAGGCTGTTTACTGGTAAATTGATTCATTTCAGTTTTGACTACCAGGCTGTTTACTGGTAATTTGATGTACAAATCATTTCATAATGGTAAAATGAATGAATATTTTCATTGACCAAAAAAAAAAATATCTTTTTGTAACTGTTAGTATATTTCACATCTAAAGAATAATATTTGAATTCAAACTAATCAGGTTTGGAGCTGGACGTGCGTATGTACTTAGGATCTTAACATACATTAATGAAAGAGTAAATGGCAGATAACCGCCTCCGTTTACATCTTGGAGAAATTTTTAAAATAAATTATTTTTAATATTTAACTAGCAAAATCAATTTAAATATATATTTAACTAGAAAAAATCTGTTAATTATACGGGTATCCCCGCGTGATTCGGTGTTGACAAACCGCTGAGGAAACTCTCTCACATGTGGGGTCCACACACCACCCACGTTGACTCACAGCCTCAATCTCCCTTGTGGGCCCAGCTTACTCACCACAGAAATTCACAGACCCAAGCTCTCATATGGGTCCCACGCGCATACCCACAACCTCTACAGCTTACAGAGTCACAGGCTTGATAAGTTTTTTATTGGTTCCTTCAAAGGCTTCACATGTGAAAGTTTGTAATTGTTTTTTTTTTTTTTCAAAGAACAAGAAAAAATATACGCGGGGCTGCTGTTTACTAATTACATGGGAGTTTATTTTCAAACCATCATATCTCGCGAAAAAAGCAATCGATTTTCAACCAGGGATTAATCTGATATGCATATGGCTGAAAATAGATCGATTTTATTAACTAATAAGTCTATAGTCGATGTTGGGGCGGTTAGAGGCGTACTTTAGCAGGCGAATTTTCCCCTGCTATTATGCGCTCCCGCTGTGATTGAAATGGCGAAAAAAAAGAAAAATAATGGGAAAAAAATTCTAGGTGTCTCAGAAAATCCGAGACACCCCTAGGGTGTCTCGGAATTTCCGAGACACCCCTAGGGTGTCTCGAAATTTCCAAGACACCCCTAGGGTGTCTTGGAATTTTCGAGACACCCCTGGGGTGTCTCGGAATTTCTAAGACACCCCTGGGGGTGTTTTGGAATTCCTGAGACGTCCGTTGAGGTGCATTCGATTGTTTTCGCCGTAAATTCTTCGTCCGAACTCGGATTTGAGTGATTCCAAGTGCGTTGGAAGCTTGACGAAGAGTTCGATCCGCTCCGGTGGTTGGATTATCTGTAGAATGACACGAGATTCAAAAGTCTAGCCCAACTATAAAGTGTCATTATGTCAAGCCTAAAGTAAGCGGATGAAATTCTCTACAAAATTTAATAATAGAGGTTACTGTGGGCGGTTAGAGGCGTATTTTAGCAGGCAAATTTTTTCCTGCTATTATGCGCTCCCGCTGTGATTGAAATGGCGAAAAAAAAGAAAAATAATGGGAAAAAAATTCTAAAAATTGGATTTAGTGCTTCAAATTCTAAATCTCTTCTTCCTATTGATTCGGATACTGGATCCTTGGAGGATGATGAGGTTTTCTTGGATCTAATGGGATCAACGGGGCCGAAGGGGGAGAAGAAAAAAAGGCTCATGGCGGATATATTGAAGGATTCGACCTCTGGATCTCATCGGGATCTGATGGTAGATAATTCGAAGGTTTTGAACTCTGGATCTCACCGTGAACAGATTTCGTCTCCGGAGATCATCGGTTTCCATTCTCGTCAGCTCAAAGATTTGCGATCAGAGGCTAGTGGATCTGGTAAGATCTCCTGGGCTGATGAAGTTGATTTTGATATTTCTAGTTGTCATCAAAGCTTACCTGCTAGATCCTTAGATGCTAAATCACAATTGAAGAATGTGATGTCAGTTCTTGATGATGTAACTGTTGCATCGAAAACAAAAGAGAAAACTGTTGATAGCTCTGCTACTAATGCTATTAAATCCCCAATTGCTTCTCTGGATCCTACATCAAAGGAAATTCCAGTGAATCTTGAGGAAAAAAACAAGAAGAGCTGGGCTAGCTTATTTGCCGATAACAGGAAAGTTGGTAGTGGCTTAAATCTGAATTTTGTTGACCCTGAAGAAAAAGATTTTGTGACTTTTAATGATGAAGAATGGAATGAGGGTAACTCAAACTGGCAATTCTCTTTAATTGGTCAAGTTTTAGGCCTAAATGTCAAATTCAAGGCTATGGAAAGCTACATTCAAAAAATGTGGACACACTGGTCAGTTCCTGATTTGTGTATTCTTAAGCCTGGCTTGTTCTTATTCCAATTTCAAAATAAAGAGGATATGGAGAATATTCTTAGGAATGGGCCTTGGTTTTTTGGTTCAAGACCTCTTCTATTGAAAATCTGGACAAATGATGATGATTTTGAAAAGTTAAATGGTAATGTATATCCCCTGTGGATTCAACTTCCTGGCTTAAGATTGAATCTGTGGAGCTCAAATGCCATAAGCAAGATTGCTAGTCATATTGGTAGGCCTATTACCACTGATAAACTCACTGCTAATAAGCAGAGATTGGCATATGCTAGGGTATTGGTTGAGGTAAATATGCCCTCCCCCCTTCCTGATTTGATTCCTATACATGGACCAAATGGAAAGATTATAAATCAAAAAGTGATATATGAGTTGAAACCTAAGTGGTGTGAAATTTGTAAGATGGTGGGACATGATACAATCTATTGTAGGAGAAATCCTAGGACACAAATATGGAGGCCAAAAGAGAAGACTGTTAATACTAGTAATGTTGTCTCTGCTGATTTGAACAAAATGGTGGGAAATGATACTTTGTTAGCTCAAGCTACACAACAAGAGCTTTTTTCTGGGTTGCAAAATACTTTGTCTGATAATCAAATAACTCAGTTAAGTGGAGAAATCAGGGGAAAAAAGGTTGTGCATGCTGTGCATATTTCAGAGATTCCTACAGGCAAAGCTTTTGTGGTCTCTGGTGATGCTATGGCAGTTAAAGCTACACAGCAAGAGCTTTTTCCTGGGTTGCAAAACACTGAAACTCTATTAACTCAGTTAAGTGGAGAAATTAAGGGGAAAAAGGTTGTGCATGCTGTGCATGTTTCAGAGACTCCTGCAGGTAAATCTTTTGCTGGGCAATCTTCTGAGATGGATGTTTCCAAAAGAATAAAATCAAGACTCATTATGCAGAAGCCTGGGCTTAGAGTTTTGGGAAACTCTTTTGATTTTCTAAAAGACATGGATGATAATCCCTCTACAGTGGACAGGGGGGGTTTTGTAAGTCTATGAATCTCTCTTTTTGGAATATTAGAGGACTAAATAAGTCTTCTAAGCAGCATCTTGTCAAGCTTCATATGCAACAGAATTCTATATCTTTTATGGCTCTTTTTGAAATTAAAATCAAGACAAATAAGCTACCTATTGTAACTAGGAAAATTGCAAACACCTGGAAGTGGTATTCAAATGATCTTAACTCTAGCAAAGCTAGAATTCTTCTTCTTTGGGATCCTAATAGTCTGGAAGTTCAAATTGACAGTCAATCATCTCAGCATATCACTTGTGTGGTCAGATCTTTTGATGGCAGAATTGATTGTTTTATAACTTCAGTATATGGTCATAATCATTTGGAAAATAGAAGAGACCTTTGGCAGGAGCTAAAACAAGTCAGTTTATCTGCTGGAAATAAGCCTTGGATTCTATGTGGTGACTATAATACTATTACTGGTAGTGATGATAAACTGGGTGGTGCAGTAGTAACTGAGGCTGAAACCATGGATTTCAGGAATTTCATTGATGATTGCCACCTATCTCACATGAAAACAGATGGTTGTCATTTTACTTGGAATAACAGACAAGAAGCAAACTCAAGAGTTTGGAGTAGGTTGGATCGAGCCTTGGTAAATGATGCTTGGCTAAATTTCTATAATTCCAGTCATGTGGAATTTTTACAACCTAATTGCTCTGATCATTCTCCAGCTTTGGTTTCAGTTCATGATGATTGTGTTCAAGGTAAAAAGCCTTTTAAATTTTTCAAGATGTGGATTAAGCATGAAGATTACATTCCCACTGTCTCTTCTATCTGGAAAACTCCTATTACTGGCTGTAAGATGTTCTCTGTTGCTAGCAAAATGAAACTTTTGAAGGTAGCTCTGAAGGACCTCAACAGGAGAAATTTTCATAATATAAGTGAACAAGTAAATAGGGCAAAGATAAATCTGGACAATATTCAAAGCAATCTACAAGCTGATCCTCTCAATTCAGTACTCATTGCTCGGGAAAAAGAATGCATAGTTACCTATAACAGATTGTTGGAGTGTGAATTATCTTTCTATCAGCAAAAATCAAGGATACAATGGATAGTGCAGGGTGACAGATGTACAAATTACTTTCACTCTTCAATCAAGGCTAAGAGGCATCTTAATAGAATTAATCTTCTGTATAATGGTGCAGGTGATAGAATTACTGATGGTGAGGGAATCATTCAAGAATTTATCTCCTTTTATAAGAATCTTATGGGATCAAAAACTGTTACCCCAAAGCCTGACTGTAATGTCATTAGCAAAGGGATCTGTTTAAATGAAGCTCAAGCAATTGCACTCTCCTCTGCTGTGACTAGGGAGGAAATCAAAACAGCTGTTTTTTCCATGGATGATAATAAAGCTCCAGGTCCTGATGGATTTAATATGTCCTTTTACAAGTCTGCATGGAGTATTATAGGAGATGAAGTTTCACAGGCAATTCTTGATTTTTTTCAGAACTGGGAAACTGCTTGGTATGATAAACTCAACTTCCATATCTCTAATTCCTAAAGTGAAATGTCCAAAGACTCCTTCTGATTTCAGACCTATTGCTTGTTGTAACTGTCTATATAAGATCATTTCGAAAATTCTAGCTAACAGGATAAAGACAGTGATGGGATTTTTGATTAATGAGGCTCAAAGTGCCTTTGTTAAAGGAAGGCAAATATCAAGTAATATCTTGATGGCTCATGAGATTGTGAGGAGCTATGGCAGGAAGCACAATTCACCCAGGATCATGATGAGTATAGATATCAAGAAGGCTTTCGATACTATAAGTTGGAATTTTCTTAGAGATATGCTTACTGGTCTGGGGTTCCCTGATATCTTTACAAACTGGATCATGGTGTGCATTACATCCCCAAAATACTCTATTTCTTTAAATGGCACACTACATGGTTATTTCAAAGGAGAAAGGGGTTTGAGACAAGGTGATCCTATCTCTCCCTATTTGTTTACACTGGGTATGGAGTTCCTGTCAAGAAAATTAGACATGCTTAAAGAGGACAGATCTTTTAAATTTCATCCTAGGTGTGGTGAGTTAAAAATCACTCATCTAATATTTGCAGATGATCTCCTCCTCTTTTCTAAGGGTGACATTCATTCTGTTAATCTTTTTTTCAACTGCTTCAAGGAGTTTAGTGAGGTATCAGGTCTGGTTGCAAATCCAGAAAAATGTAAAATATTTTACAGTGGTGTTGATGAACATACCAAAAGCTTGATTAATAATCTCCTGAACTTCACAGAGGGTGCACTGCCCATCAATTACCTGGGGGTTCCTTTGATATCCAAACGATTATCATATACTGATTGTTCTCCTCTTTTAAACAAAATCTCAGATCAATTACAAGCTTGTCTGAAAAATAGAGCTCTGTCTTTTGCTGGAAGATTACAAATTATTAAGAGTACTATACTTGGCATCCAGATATATTGGACTTTAAATTATATTCTTCCTGTTAGAGTACTGCAGAAGATTGATCAAATGTGCAGGGACTTTTTATGGGGCAAAACAGATCAAAAGCATAAAATTCCTCTGGTTTCTTGGGACAAAGCCTGTTTGAATAAAAGGCTTGGTGGTCTTGGCATCTACTCAGCAACAATTTGGAATTTGGCAACTATGCTGAGATTAATATGGCATATCCATATTAATAAAGAGAGTCTATGGATCAAATGGATTCACAGTGCATACTTAAGGAATGATGATATATGGCATGTTCAGGCTAAAAACTGGGACTCATGGATGTGGAAGAAAATTTTGAAAATCAGAGATAAAGCTGTTAGTTGTTGTGGAGGTCTAAATAACTTGTTGCTGCTCATCCAATCTTGCTCTGATAATTCTAGAATCCAGATTTCAGCATTGTATAATGCTCTCTCCCCTAATTCTTCAGTTGTGCCATGGCATAGAACAGTTTGGGAGACTACAAACATCCCCAGTCACTCTTTTATCTGTTGGTTAGCAATCCAAGATAGGTTGCTCACTATTGACAGACTGATTAAGAGGGGATTAATGAATACTAACAATTGTTGTCTGTGTTCTGGTTCCGAAAACAGAAACCATCTTTTCTTTGAGTGCTGCTATTCAAGAGAAGTTTGGCTAAAAATTATGGATTGGCTCAGATTCAAATGGCAGTCCTGTGATTGGAATCAGCTTGTGATTTGGTATTGTGATAGATTGAAGGGGAATGGATTCAAGCAAAGGATCAAAAGAATGGCACTAACTACAGCAGTTTATAGTATTTGGAGAGAAAGGAATTTCAGAATTTTCAGGCAAAAAGCAAGGTCAGCTGATCAGCTTTTTAAGAATATCAAATTCAGTGTTTTTTCTTTTGTTCTCAATGGCTCTTTTAAAGCAGAAGACAGAGAATGGATCATTTCACTTTGATAGTCAGTGAGGAGAGCAATTAGCAGGTTCAGATGCTGTTAGTTGCGATTGAGATGAAGTTTTACTCAGCTGCTGACAGTTGCTGAGTTTCTTGATTGATTTTCTAAATGTCAATTTTGATATCTCATACATATTGATGAGATTCTTGATGTATATTCATTCTTACATTTGGTGATGAATAAAATCTTTCATTTACCAAAAAAAAAAAGTCTATAGTCGATTTTACTAAATAAATTAACTAAATAAGTCTATAGTTGATTTTACTAATTAAATGTTGAAAATGGACTGTTTCAAAACTTTCTCCTTATATGTTCTTCACAAGTTAATTTATTAGCTATTAGTACCACTTGGATTGTCATTTTAAGAAAGATATTTTTTTTGAGCGAAAAAACAAGGGATACACCTTGTTCATTAAAAAACAAAGTATCTGTACAAAAGAAGGATACGAACTGTATCCATTAAAAATTGGTAGATAGAAAACTTAATTTCTTAAAACTAGTGATGTATAACCTTCTTCTCCTAAACATACATGAAGGTGAAGAGAGGTCCTTAATGTCATTCACTGTTGACATGGATATAAAGGAGAAACAAAGCCGGCCATACATGTAGTATAGAGAAATTAAATTTTCTATAAACCAATTATACACCAAAAAACAGACCACAAAAGTTTATGTACATATTTCACCAAAGACTAACTAGTGTAGTTAACCACTGCTCCTAGGGATTGGTTTGTCTTCTAAAGCCCCTGCTAACTTAAGAGCATCATTTCTTCTTCTAGATCCTGCCCATTCATATAAAGCAACAATAGATGAATTAATGATAGATTGAACAGAGAATGTTATTTGCTCAAAAACAAACTTGTTCCTTGAAGTCCATAGAAACCAACAAACTGAAGAGAAAACTGAGCGACATATGATTCCATCCTTTTTATGTAGAGATTCAACAGATAGTATAAGTCCATCAAACGTTGTTGGCCAAATGCAAGGTAGATAGTTATCACTGAAGTACTTCCATACTGTTTTAGCTGTGTTACATGAAAAGAAGATATGATCTCTAGTTTCAGTTTGCATACCACATAGAATGCAAGTAGGGTCCCCTTGTCAACCTTTCTTCATGAGATTATCCTTGGTGTGCAAGTGATTCATAGATAAAAGCTATGTGAAAAGTTGAATTTTGCTTGGTAAGATAGGATTCCATACTACTTTGTAGAAAGCAGACATAATACCTATAGAATTTAAAAATTCATAAAATGATTTGACTGAGAAGGAGCCACTTGATGTAAGGGACCATTTAGGGATGTCAACTTGATTTGTAACTCTATGTAAACCAATAAGATTCATGAGATCAAGTCTGGCAGTGTGAGATACTGATGAGATGCTTCGCTTCAATAGAGGATGCTAATGCCATATATTATTATCGAAGTTACCTTGACTACGAATAGGGACATTAGTAGACAAGGCAAGACTGTATAAAGATGGATATAAACTTGATAAAGAGTTATTACCAATCCATTTGTCCTCCCAAAACCTGATATGTGCACCTGATCCTAGAGACCATGATATGAGATGTAGAAAAGCTTCTTTGTTGGAAATGATATCATTCCAAACCAAGGAGTTGTAGGCAGAACAATTAGATAATTGTAGAGAAGAGACTTTTCTGATATATAGATGATAAAGAAAAGTTCCTATGAAAGATTCTCTGTCAAAGCATTTCCATAGCCACTTGGATAGAAGAGAGATATTAAAAAGTTTGAGATCTTTCACTCCCAATCCTCCTTCTGTTTTACTCAAACATACCCTCTTCTAATTGACTAGACATTTGAAAGGTTTAGATTCACTTTTACCTGTCCAGAGGAAATTTTTCCTGATTTTATCCACTTCTTTGATCAGTCAACCTGGTAGCTTGTAGAAAGACATATAGTACAGGGGAATTGAAGAAAGAACTGAATTTAGCAAGACAAGTCTACCTCCAAATGATAAACAATTTCTCTTCCAAGAAGCAAGTTTTCTATGCAAATTATCCAATAAAGGTTGCCAATCAGATTTAGATAGTTTGCCACCCTTCAAAGATAAGCCTAGATATTTTATAGGAAGTTTATCAAGTTTGCAATTGAGGCTTGATGCTAGATAAAACCCTCTATTCTGCAGACTGCCAAAGTAAATCAGGGATAACTTTGAGTTGTTAATGGCCAAGCCTGAGATATCTTCAAAAATGTATAATATAGCCTTTAGGATAGATATATCTTTGTAGGTACTTTTCATAAAAATTAAAGTGTCATATGGAAATTGTAGGCTTTTGATGTGATTGAGAGGTTTCTTAATGTGCAGGCTAGATAATAACCCATCATCCACATTGTACATAATTATTTTGCTCAAGACATCAACTGATATGTTAAATAACAAAGGAGATAGGGGGTCTCCTTGTTTAAGACCTCTTTTGCATTTAAAAGATCTGAATGGAGATCCATTAACAAGTACTGCACAATTTGAAGTAGAAATAATATAATAGATCCAAGAGTACCATTTATCTCCAAAACCTCTAGCCTTTAGCAAATTAATAAGAAAGCTCCATCTTATAGAGTCAAAAGCTTTAGCAAAATCAATCTTAAACATGGCCACTTCCTTTTTCCTCTTTGAACAAAAGCGGATCATCTCATTTGCATTAATAAAGATAGATTCAAGGGTTGATTTTCCTTCTTGGAATGCAGTCTGAGTAGGGGCAACCAGATCCTTCATGTGAGGTGCTAATCTATTAGCTAAGATTTTCATGAAGATTTTGAAAATACAGTTATTCAAACTGATAGGCCTAAAATCTTTGACTGTTGAGCAAGTTTTTGTTTTTGGAATGAGAGTAATAAGGACTCTATTCACTCTTTGAAGGGATGAAGGATTCTGACCAAAAACGTTCATAAGATCAACAAGATCACTTTTAATTAATTCCAAGAAAGATTGGTAGAAAAGTAAAGAAAAACCATCTGGTCTTGGTGACTAGTTCGGATTCATACTAAAAACAGCATGTTTAACTTCAGATTCAGTGAAAATAGCCTCAAGATTTAAAAGATTTGGGTTATGATTAGGGTATAAAAAATCTCAGTTGACAGTCATGTTACTGTTATTTTCTTGACCAAAAA